CAGATGGCAACAGCCCTGCGCAAGGCGCATGCCACCGCCCAGCACCGCCTGCCCCACTGCCCCCGCACCTCTCGCCCCCAGGAGTTTCGGCTGCCCTGCTTTGCAGATCTCAAAAAGGGCTTTTCTACGACCTTGCTGGCCCAGGTTCCCAGGGCTAAAATAGGCATTTGGGCTATTTATCGTGCTCTCGGTCAGCCTTCACAGAGCACAGCCTTGTGCCGGCCCTGCCTCTCCTCCAGCCCGCTTAAGGTTACACGTCTCCGCGCCCAACCCCAGCGTAACTCCGGCAGCTCCCCCAATTTTTGAGGTTTGCTTCCATTTGGGGAGAGTCAGCCCAAGTGCATTTGCTCAAGCGGGCTCATCTGCCCCCAGGAGCCAGGGCAGAGGGGACGGAGAGCCCTTCTCCTAGGGCAAGGCACAGCAGGCATCGAGAAAGCCAACTCCAAATTCACCTTTGCCCCCCCGCAGGGCATTGCAGACCAGTCCATGCACCCCAGAACTGAGTCAGGAGTGTCACGGGAGCTTGCAAGGGAGGCGAGGACAACTCCTACCTCCCAGGTAGTCAGCAGCAAAGCCGCACTAGCCCAGTCTGGGAGACAACAGGCGAGGACTCGGGTGTCGGGACAGACAGACTCCAAGCTCCTGGTACATAGCTTTTACAAAAGCCAAACCTGCTGTAATTATTTTTCAGTGACATATCCCTGCAGAAGAGGAAAGCAGTAAGCTCGGCACCCAGCTGCCCTGCCACCACCATGCTTCCACCTCGGGAAACGCTCTGCCTGGGGTGGGCAGGCAACCCCAACGAGGTGATGCTCTCCCAGCGCTGGAGGGGGTGTAGAGGGGATGAGATTCCCCCTGCACGCGTGACGGCGGAGCGCCAGGGGTTGTGAGGAGCCCCCTGCAAGCACAGCTGGATGCACAAAAAGCCACGCGGCTGCAGGAACCCGGGCCCCTGCGTTTCCAATCCCCTGGGAGCTGCTGTCTCAGCAGAGCCATGCAACCAGAAATCCTCTTTTGAAGAGTTTTAACAGGCAGACAGACGTGTCTGCTGGACAGACTTGGCAAGGTGGAACAAGAGCCAGAAGCTCGGTGCCACATCAAGAGCCAGGCCAGTGGCTGAGCTGTGGAAGTATCTGACGTTAGAGGTCCCTGCATGAAGCGTCAAAGTTCAGACTTTGCCCCCTTGGAGAGGCTTTTTCGCCCTTACTGGCAGATGCAAGCGTTGGTGGTTCTCTCTCTTGCAGAGCAAACACTCGCTGAACCATAGAATCATGGAATCATCTAGGTTGGAAAAGACCTTTAAGATCATCACGTCCAACCGTTAACCTAGCACTACCATCCCACCACTAAACCATGTCCCTAAGCACCCTGTCTGCCTGGCTGTTAAATCCCCCCAGGGATGGGGACTTGACCCCTTCCCTGGGCAGCCCGTTAAAACCAACACTGGGTTTTCTGCGGATCTTCAGCGCGCTCTGATGGCAGCCCCCAGAGGAGGGGATGAGTCACCAAGAAGAGCAGCCTCATTAACAAAGAGAAGACATTTTCATTTAGACTGCTTGAAGCACTTGTTTACACTTGTTTGAACCAAGGTTCAGGAGAAAAGCTCTCTGTCAAGGCCCCAACGCTTACGGGAGCCAAGCACTCCAGCCACCCTGATTTTGTGCTGTTTAAGGGGGACCAGGGCTGATGCTCCACATCCAGCAACCACGATAACTCTCGGGACAGCAAAGGCAGCACCACTTCTTCAGCTCCCCTTTCCAACTTTGGCGCGAGAGGAGAAAATGTAGCTGCGCTCCCTCGCCCCACGGCCCTGCCAAAGCAAGAGGGGCTCACCCGTTGCCCACCGGTTGCAGTTTTGGGGGCTGAGAAAGAAGCCGTCGCGTTACAGAAGCCGTTTAGGTGCCTGGTGGTTCCCCGCAGCAGCGCGTTTTAGAGCCGCGTGCTCGCTGTGCGCCGCCTTCCCAGCCCTGAAACGGGGGCACTGGAGAACACAAATTGCTTTTCGGTGGGGCGGGAGGTCTACTCGGAGGAAAGGCAACGCCTTCGCTTTTGGAAAGGTGGGGTTTTTTTTCCCCCCTCCTCCTCTCTTCCAGGTGAATCCAAGCAAGGTGGAAGATGTATTGGGAAAGGTCACTTGTTCTGTTTTCTGCCTTGCGATCTCCAGGGCTGCTGCTGGCTGCACCTAACAAGGAAGGACCGGCCGGCGCCGTCCCACGGGCAGGCAGCTCTGCCAGGCAGGGCGGCACAGCGCTCCGGTGAAAAACACGCATTTGCAGCTCCCAGCAGGCTGCTTCGTACGATGGCTTCCCTCTCCACCCCCAAACATCTCACGCTTTCCAAGGTACGGCACTACAGGACGTGTGGCATAAAACGCACGTTGGGAGCTCGCTGCTCAGCTAAATGAGAACAAAAGAACCACACGCCCCAAGACACCGATTTATTTTTACACTCGCAAGGCTGAGCGGTATTTCTCGATCTTGTTCTCATTTGCTGAACCTCTACAAAATCCTTGCAGGCTGGAAATTATTTCAAATCATGTATCCAAGACAACAGGGGTAATTTTTCCCCAGCATATTAAACGTAGACATCGACAGAGCTCTGATCTTTAGATGATTACCCTGAATTCAGTATAAGGATCCATTGACATCTTCCTGAAAAGAAGATCTCAGGATTCATCACCTTTCTCCTTTGGGTCACCTTGTCATTCCAAGGAAACGATGGCCCAGCAGCAGAAGTATTTCATCGCAGCAGGGCACACACCCGGCTCGTTGGTATCCCTGCCCAGAATAGCTTGCAGCACTGCCAGAGCTCATCTAGGTTAAATTAGCCGTTAGAAAATATCCCTGCTCCGAATCTCAGGGAAGACCGTCCCTCAACACGGGTCTGAGGAGCAAAAAGCAAAGGCCCTTGCCTGCACGAGCACTGCGACGCAGACCGACACGGCCTCTAAACCGCTCAGCCCAGCGGTTCAAAAGCACATTTGTGACCTTGTACCAGACAGAGAAAGATGAAAACCCATCTCCCTTCCCTGCCTTCCTGCCCCCCTTCTACCCAGCTACTGCCGGCCTTTGTGACTACCTTTCAAAAAGGAGAAATAATCGAATATTCAACCCGCCCTTGAAAGCCTTCTGGGGGAGGCACCCAGGATCGCAGGCTCTTAAGGCTGTGCTCTTCCTGAGCAGTCCCAAGGGAATGAGCGCCTTGCTCAGGGTGCCGATGCCGGTCCGTGACTCGATTGAGAATGGGAGCCACCAAACCAGCTCGAGCGCAAACCCACGCCTGGCTGGGAAAGGGGATGATGCCCTGGTCAACTGTCAAGCCTAAGTCGTCAAAGTGCGAGCTTCGAGCCATCTTAAGCGAGGGACTTGTGCTTCTCGCTAACATGGGGAAGACCGGTTGCCCAACACCCAGTTTACCATTAGGAAACTCAAAAGAACAGCTGGAGCCTTTTATCAAAGCACCACAAAATAACATATTACAAAGCAAAGATGTATATATTTGCACGCAAACATAAAGGAGGCTGGGAGTCCCTTTCCAAGTAACACTTTGTGTGACAAAAACATCCCGGGTACCAAGACACAAGAGTCAAAAACCTGAAGAGGAGAGTTTGGAAAAGGAGAGCAGAAGGAAGCTATTCAGTCTCCGTGTGGGACTTGGGAGCCGGCCGGCCCTTTGCTCTGAAGGCACCTGCAGCACCTTCTGCCCCAGGCTGGAAGGGACGAAGCACGAACGGAGGCAGCCTACCAAGGAAAGCCCCAAAGCCCACGAACACAGACAACAGAGCAGCCTCCTGTCTGGCTGGGGAGAGAGGATACAGGATGCTACTGCAGTATGCTCCCGCGCTAAGGAAGACGGAAGGGAACTGAGGGATGGAGGCCATAACTTCAACAAAAGGAAAAAAGCCACATCAGATAAGCATTCGAGCCCAAGAACAGAGAGAAAAATCTAAATTTTGTCTTCTGCTCTGCCTTTTACTGGCCAAACAGCACTGAGTGCCAGTGCCCAAGCGCTCTGTTGTGCCTCTCGGGAAGGCTCCTGGCTGGTACATCTCAAAATCAGACCCAGGTTCTCCAACCTCAGAAACTCCAGCACCGAGACAAACCCTTCCCACACTGCTGGTGTTTCACCACAAAAAAAGATTTCCCCTTTCGCCCAGGGCACCATGCTCTGGCATTCTGCGAGCTAGAGCACTAGCTGTGGTTTTTTTGCTTGAACGCCAATTTTAACTTAAACAGCACCAAATACTTGGTGCAAATCCTCCGGGCCAGTCACCCGCAGATTAAAGGATTCGTCTTTACTACACGTTAAGCATCTCAGAGCCCTCGCCACAGCAAATGCTCTTCTCCCCCAGCCAAACCCTCCGTGCTCAAGCCTCACGCCGTATACAGCCGATGTTTGCCGGAGGTAACAGCGCTCATACTTGCCTCAAACGTGACGAAGTCATCGAACTCATCGGGACAGGCCGGGGCTTCCTCCTCAGGGGTATATCCCATATCATACAACTGGCTGTCAGGATCTGCAGAGGAAAACAAAAGACAGAGAATCACCAAAAGGAAACGCTCACCCTCAAACGAAGGGCGGCTTTGGGAGCCACGACAGCAGAAGGACGTGAACTTCCTCTTGCACATGCCGGTACCTTCAGCGTTCAGAAAAGCCCTCTGCTTCCAGGCATCCCACCGCCAGCTCGGGTGGAGGGCAACTGGGGTGGCTGCTCCCTGGCAGAGGTCCTGCCCGGCCCCTTGCTGCTCCGATGGGGCTAGCACCTGGATTCATCCCTACCCCGCCATGGTCTCCGTTCCTTTTCCTGGTTTCTTCCCTATCTCTGTTCCCTGCATCCTCTTATTCTTCTCCCAGAAGGCTTTAATCCTGCTGTGGGCAGGGAATACATTAGAGCTATGTGTGACAGCCAACTACCATGGGAACGGCAGAGAAAGCAGGCTGCACCGAAGCGTTTATCATCTACTGCTCCTTCCGTGGCCAGCCACATCAGGAGCCACCCTCCCAGGGGGACAGGAAAATAGGAGGTTTTCAAGGAGATTTCTTAAAAAAAGAATAAAAAAAATAAAATTACTCCTCCCACCCCCAAACACCCCCTCTGCAGCAGAGTGGCTCAGCATTTCTCCAAGCCCTTCGACCAAGGAAGGGAATGTAAATTCCCACTGCTCCCTCAAGCAACAGCTAATGCCTGATCCAGCACACGACCTAGATCACAGGCTGGAAACACCAAATCAGGATCAGATGCTGCAGTCCCAAAATAAATAGCAGGCTCAAAACCACATGCCTTGGAGCTGCAAGGGTTGAGGCGCTGGGTTTGTCTGATGCCAATAAAGTTGGCGGGGCAGCGGGAGTCATCATGTCAGTGCTCCTAGGAAAGCTTGGCATCGCCCGGATTCGGGGAGGGACAGGCTTTCCTTTTACAGCTGCTCGAGGCAGACGATGAGAGGAGAGCTACAAAGCAGGGTCTGCTTTCTGCATCCTTCAGGGCCGGTGGCTTCCCAGCAGGCTGGCAGCTCAGCCAATTCGAACGGCTCCCGGGCTCGAGTCCAAACCGGAGGGACACGCAAGTCGCGTGACGTTTTGCTGCAGCTGAGCAGCACAACCATCCAGATGGGATCATAGGCAGCGTCCCTCAAAGGGTACGTCCCTTATACAGCCACGGCCAGGGCTCCCGCTTTGGGTCCAGCTCCAGATATCAAGAAGGGCCATTTTTCATTAAGGGATCCGTACACTACTATGAAGTCAAGGGACTGGGGCACCGGACAGAGTAAAGAGGCTTGCAGCAACACCCTTCCCACTCAAACACCCTCCCCAGTGCTTCTTTCAGCTGACCATTAAATGCGAACATAGCCAGGGCCCCCGGAGATGCTGGAGCCACTGACCCGATGGGCACGGGCAGCCCACGGGGGTGGGAGAAGCTGAGCACGGAGCACCGAGAAACGAGCCCTGCCCTGAGCTGGGGCTGGGGCTCGCGGGGTTAGACTGTAAATCAAACCTGGGAATAAACCAAATTGCTTTTCCAGAAACGAGCGTACGATGCCGTGCTCTGCAGTAAGCACACAGCGGGGTCGTGGCTTCGTCAGATGAAAGGTGCTCTTGTTCACAATTTAGGACTTCGATATCCCCGCTGCCCTGCCCACGCGCGGCACCGGGCGCCAACTGCTGGGGCTCCTGCGCGTAACCCTGAGCAAGGCAGCGAGATGCACCTGAAAACGCTGTTGCCCGAGCAGGCTGCTGAAGGCAAGGCAGCCTCAGGCCACCTCTTACTCTAACTAGTGGGTTTAGCACTGAAGTGTCTTAAGACAGTATTGTCCCTCTCCAAAAATGCGACCCTGTCCCCACCTGCACAGCTCCACCCCCAGGGCTGAGCTTACAACCAGGAGGAGTTTTTCCAATAGTTATCCCTGTCCCTATCCCAAAATTTGCGAGCCTCCTTGCTGACAGCAGGGAGGCCCGAGTGGCTGGGGACGGCGATCTGCTTGCTGCAAAGCCATGGGAGCACCTGGGAGTGGGTCTTGCCAAGAGGAGCCTCTGCCCAATTCTGGGAAAAAAACCAAACCGTGCTCCTGAAAGGCAACCCATGTCACACCGTGGAAACAGAGGGGACAGCCGGCCATGTCTCTGGCTGACTACGGACCACAGCACGCAGGCAACGGCCGCCTCCAGCGGGGTGGCTGGGATGAGCATCCAAAGAGCCAGCTCAGCTCACGGGGACGCAGGCTACGGACACAGCAATCTGGTCCTGTGCCCGGCCAAGGCTCTGCCCTGTAGCGCATCCCAGCGTGAGCCCCGGTGAGGGCTCCGTTCTCTGGGTGCAGAGCAGCTGCCAGTGCTTCCAGCCACCTCATCTCGCACCTTTGCCGCACACGGCCGGGCAACCCAGCCAGCCTTACCGGTGTCCACCCTGCGAGGCCATCTCCAGTGCTGCTGGTGGCACCCCGTGGCAGCCCCGGGAACCGCAGAGTACCCCGAAGGCGGCAGCGCCAGGCACAGGCTGCTCCCTTCTGCTTATTCCCATATCATTTCTTTTCCTCCCCCTCCAAGAGGACACACTAAAGCTTCCTGCTTTTCTACAGACACAGATAAAGATATTTATTCCACTCATTCCTTCCAAAGGGACTTGAAAAAGGGAGGATTTACAGTCATTTCCCCCTTCGGAAGCAGGGGTACAAGGCGTGGGCAGACCACGCGCAAACAGCTCCCCGGCATCAGCTGCCTCCCGTACAGCTCCTGCCCAAACCGAGCGCTCCCGCAGCCTTCCCAGCCCTGCGGGTGTTTCTTGGTGCAAGGGCGGACATGAGACTTGGTTGCTCCATCTGCCTCAAGAGAGGGCCCCTGCGCAGGCAGGGTTTATTTTTACAGCAAGCTCCGCTGTAAAAAGCAAGGAAAGGCCATTTGAGAGATCACCTGCACCCTTGCTGGTGGCATGGCCAGCAGAAGCCATGCCCAGGAGAAAGCACTGCCCGTTTCCACCTCCCCATGCTCCATCTCAGAGAGCAAAGACAAACACCACCACAAACAAAAGGTTGACTTTTTCTGTTCGATTCATTCCCTCCCCCTCCAAAAAAGCCATATGGTGCTTTGTGTATAGGGAGAGTTGCCATGGAGAGCTTTGCCTGCAAGTCTTCCCGCACAATAGGCTGCATTAAGCTTTCAAATTCCTGTCCAAAAGAGCCAAAAAAACCCCAAGAGACCTTTGCTGCTCGGCCGGCACACCCAGGGTGAAGGGCACCGTCCCCCAGGTGAAGGGCACTGTCCCCCGGGTGCAGGAAGAGGCCGGTGCCGAAGGCAGGAGGACTCATCATAGAATCACTTTGGTTGGAAAAGCCCTTTGAGATGATCAAGTCCAACCTTTAACCTCACCCTGCCATCCCACCACTAAACCCTGGCCCTCAGCACCTCATCCATCCTTCTTTTAAATCCCTCCAGGGATGGGGACTCGACCACCTCCCTGGGCAGCCCCTTCCAGAGCCTGACAACCCTTTCGGTGAAGAAGTTTTTCCTAATGTCCAACCTAAACCTGCCCTGGCGCAGCTTCAAACCATTCCCCCTCATCCTATCGCGCTAGCTGCTCTCCCCCACCGCACCATGAACAGCGCAGCAGCATGGCCACTGGCCATGAGCTCACCGGTGGTGCACAGTGAGCACAAATGCTCAAAATTCCCTCCGCTCTCCCCCTTGGACCTCAAAGCCAAACCCCAGCAGATGCCCTGCGCTCCTTCACATCCCCTTCTCCCTGCCCCTCACACCGCAATGCATACTTTCACCCCTTACACCCATCCCCGATTTCGCGTGGCCCCTTTCCTTCCTCCTCTCTGAGAGTCGGTGTGGTCGCCACGCTTGGAGTCACCGCTTCCCAACGCTGCTCAAAAATCACAGCTTTTGCCCGGAGATGCAGATGTCCTTAGTGACCGCCTTTTGCCCTCGCACCCCAGTGTCCACCACCAGCTTCTCCTGTCGTTTCAGCTCCGTCCATCGCTCCCACCGCTAGTCCTGTTATATCCACGCACAGCCAAAAATCTCAAAGGTGAATAAATAGATAAATAAATAGACAGATAGATAAATAAATAAATCAGGCTCCAGGAAGCCTCAGTGCCCAACAATCTCCCTGCAAAGAGGCTGTAAGCTATGTGCTAGGTCTTTTACCCAAAATAATTGCACTGATTTATTTGACTGGAATACGTGGGCAGGGTACCAGGCACCTGGATAAAGTTTTAGTTGGACTCTTGTGGCAGTGCTCCTCTACCAGGGTAATGCGGCTGATGTAGAACTGAACTGAAATCAGTAAGAGCAGGCATGTGTACTGTAGCATCCAGTGAAGCTAAGGTGAATTTGGGGAAAAAAAAAGAAAGATGTGAAAAGCAAATGAAGCCTACTAAGAGGCACCCGCAGCACCCTTTTGACAGCTTTTCCTATCCCTGCCTTGAAGCTTCCTGCAGCCCAGCACGTGCTCATTCAAACCCCACCTTCCGAGCTCACCGCATCGACCACACCACTCACTCGGGAGATGGAGATTTGCCACCATGCAAAATTTTGCCGTGGGTCCAGCTCTGACCAGTCAGGCCCAGCACTTTCTCTCCTACACATCTGATTTTCTCCGTTCCTCAGTGCTGCCTTACACCTCGGCACTAAATCCAGCATCTCCCTCGATTCTTGAGATGCCCTCGTTCCTCCCAGCGTTTCAAAAAAAATCATTGTCCAAACACTGCTGGGTAAAGCTTCTGACAAGGACCAGCTCTGTCCAAACACATCTGCGTGCTCTCACACTGATGGAATATCCACTCTCAAGCCAAGGGCAACCTTGGTCCAGTGTCCATCAAGCCTCTTGAGCCACCGGCCACCTCCGAGGAGCAGCACAGCCAGCAGCAGACACAGCCAGCTGCACGGAGGTTTCTCCTGGACGTACGGCAAAGGTGCAGCTAGAGAGCAAGCAGGACCGAAGTCCTGGGCTCTTCGCGGGGGTGAACGCATGCTGAGCTCTCGCAGCGGCCGGAGACGTACCCTTCGCCACCCAGCTGT